AGAAGCAGAAATAGAAAAAGAAGCATAGATACAAAAGGCAACTGTCAACCAGCTCCACAGGCGGCCCTGTCCAAAAAACACACAGCCAGGGAGAATTTCAAGCCAGCTCCCACGTAGGAGGTTGAAAAGAGAACATCCTGCCAGTCACAGTCAGAGAAACAGGACTACACTGGAAAACAGGCCAAGCTCCAACATCTAGAAACAAAGGTGTTGATGGCAGCAGCACAGCTGATGTTTCTCTCCAGGATGGAGTCACAGCCAAACAGGAACAGACCAGAAGAAGCTACTATGAGAAAAAGCAGAGAGAGCATTACTCAGTTACAAAGCATAATATAAACCTGCAAATCGCTTTTTTAAAGGTAAAAACAATTAACACAAATAAAAAAATTAAGCAGAAGAAAGACCTTTCCAAATTCATTTTAGCATAAAACATCTGAAACCATTTCCTACAGAATGCAATACATATTTTAATGAAACAAACTTTCTAAATCTGCTGAATTAGTTTAAGATGTACCTTTCCTTTTTTTATTCCAGTTTCTCACAGTGGGCAGAATAGTTAACAGTTCCAGAAGGAGTACTGATGCGTCATGACTAAAGTAAAATCTATGGTGCAGAAAAACTATTCCTAAAAGGACATTTTTGTCATAGTTACTGCAGTAAATAACAGCAAATAAAACTAGTAAGTAGCTCTCTCTGTTGGCCATATGTGGTAATTACAACTGTTTCAGCGTCTGAAACTTGGAGATTTTGGTTTAAAAAAAAAACATTTGAAAGATGTTTTCTCTTCAAATGCATTGAAATCTAATGAATGTTGCTGTACCATATATTCGGGCTCAATAGTATTTATTTATGGTGGAAAAATAAGTGACCAGTACACCTTTAATCCTGTGTAAACAAAATAAGGTTTGTTTTTTATGTTCATGCTTGTTACTGTTTTAATTTCATATGTGTGATACACGTCCACAATATATGCATTTGGTTCTGCTTCTGTCTCTCCAGTCTGGAAGCCAAAGACCCTGAATGTGTCTCAGCTTGGATCCAACCTTCACGTGACCTTTGACCTGGCTCCGCCTTCCTTCGGCCTCCAGTTTTACTACCTGTACTACAGGCTGCGACAGGACGGGCTGTTCAGAGTGCAGCGCTGCAGGCCGGTAGGACTGAAGGCTCTCTGGCCCTTCCTGCAATGCAGTGGCTTTTTATTTTCACTTAGCAGGACTACAGGGAATGATGCACAGCTGTGCTCCAAAGTTTTCACACCCTCCCTTCACAGAAACAGATGATTTCACACTAGTAGTTAAAATAACACAAAACTGAAAAAGGAAAAAAATAACTATTTACTAAATGCTAATTTAGTAAAATAAAATATTGATTTTGAAGAAAATATTCTAAAAAACGAAGATCCCAGATAAATGAAAGTGCCTTGCTCATGAACCGTGAACCAGCAGACCTGTCAGCATGTCCAGAAGGCCGAATAATGTTACAGAAAAATAACTGATTTCTCTAAATATTATTGCCTCAAACTGATGCTCGATAACATCTCAGGTCAGGAGCTACATCTGGCTCTTGTTTACTGTTTTACATGGATGCATCTGTGTTTTTATATATATATATATATATATATATATATATATATATATATATATATATATATATATATATATATATATATATATATATA